GGATCTTCATTCAGGAATCGCCATCTGCCTCCGCTATTCTACAAACTCCGCTACCCAAACTCGGGGAGCGCTATATGCTAACTCAGCCCCAAACCAAAGGGGCCTACGGGGTGTGTGACTGCACCAGCCCGATGCTGGACCTCCACTACATGAACCTGATTATCAGACCACCATAAAAGCCTCTCAACGAGTCTAGCAGATGCAACGAGGTCCCCCATGGGACTCTCCCAGGTCGCCGGAGATGCGGACCCAGGCAGAGAGAAGCTGCCCTGCCTGCCCTGCAGGGAGGGGAGGTGGAGTCACATGCGGAGCAGCTGCAGCCACAGGGAAGGAGCCTCTCCAGCTGTCCCCGGGGTGAGGTGGCACGCCTGCGACCATCCCCGAGCATATTTTTAGCAAGAGCTTCCTCACTGGCATACGAGGCTCTTCTTTAAAAGGGCTATCATCCAGGGCAGTGCTTCTCCCTGGGGATGCTAGGCACAGGAGAAATGGAAAACATATGTGCCCATTCTGAAAATAGAAACTCAGGGATTAGGTAACACCGAACTTGAAGCGGGGAAGAAACGATTGGTCCTGTTGTGTCGTTTTTTAATTGTAGAGAATTTCAAAGATTTTCAACACTTCACGTAGCTTAATTAGGCAAAGAGAGTTGCAGGCAATTTAATCCTCCAAACTCTAGCTCGTAAGGACGTTTTCCCTAATGAGTGTGAGGCCTGGTGGGGGTGTGGTGTTCACCACCATTCATGGTGGAGATGCACGCTCTGGGAAGATGGGGGTAGAGCAAACACGGGGGGCACTGCCGAGCTCATTCAGACAACAGTGGCACCTGTACATCTCTGATGCCGTGTGTACGTGCGCGTGTGCGTTTAAGGTAAAGTAGGTCTCCTTTTTTATAATGTTCCCTAACAGAAGCCCTGGTGGTGTAGTGGGTTACGAGTTGGGCGGCTACATGCAAGGTCAGCAGTTCCAACCTCCCAGCCACTCCCCAGGAGAAAGAGGAGGCTTTCTGCTCCCATAAAGACTTGCAGTTCTACCCTGTCCTAGAAGATGGCTCTGACTCTGGACCATTCCCAGGAAGAATTACAGTCTTGGAAACTCACCGGGGCTGATCCGCCCTGGCTTGTATGATTGTGTGAGTCGGCACAGACGCGATGGCAGTGAGTTTGGTTTGGTGTATTGGGTTCGCTCCATGGAACGAGTCTGAGTTGAGTTGAATGATTTTAATGACTCCAACGCCAAGGTCTTGCAGCACTGGCCCCGGGTGGGATACAGGTCTTTGAGGCTGCTCGGGACCCGGCACTGTTTCCTTGTGCTGCACACAGGGCCGCTATCAGTCGGAACCGCTATCTACAAGGGCAACCAAAGCTGCGCCCTGTAAGGTTTTAATACGGCATTTGTTCAGCATTCCAATCACAATGTCCTACGTCACAGAACGCTGGTGGAGTTTACACCATGCGTATTGTATTTGCATGAGAACTCTGTACACAACACTTAATTAATTAGGTCTGAGAAACCGCCTAGACCTATTCCCTACATCCTAGCTTTCAGTGTTTAACATATAGATTGAAACAAGTGTTTTGATCAATGAATTTTAACCTAAACACTATAGGGTCCTGGTGGCATCATGGATGACCGGTTGGGTTTTGAACCACAAGGTCAACAGTTCAAGCCTACCAGCCACTCCTTGGGAGAAAGACGAGTTTGCCTGCTCTCCTGAAGACTTGCACCCTAAGAAACCCACAGGGTGTTCTGCTCTGTCCTCCAGGGCCCTTAGGAGTCGGCCGGGACTCGATGGTAGCGAGCAAAAAGAACCTGAACACGACAATGTCGTCAGGAATCTTCCAGCACTCCGCCTTTAGCAGTGCCACCAAACCTCTTACGTGGGTGTGTGTGAGCATGCAGGTGTTCCCAGCTTTCCAAGTCAGTCTGCTCAGTGGATAGAAATGAACTTGAGCGTAAAAGTTATTTTCTCTCATGGACTACAGGGACCCTTCTTGAAAACTCAACAAGTAGAAAGTTATTTCCAAACTGTATGCAGAAAACTGAACTCAGATGTGAGCAAAAGTGAGCTTAGGGGACAATCCCATTGACCTGGGAAGCTGAGCCGTCTAAGCCGCCAACCACCCTTCTAAGCCATGACTGTCTGTAAAGCACACGAGCGCATTTATTCTTGGCGTTCTTCCTGTTTAACAAAACATCAAGCCCTCTCCAAACAGGAGCAAAAGCACTGGCTCCGTTTTGTGTTCCCGGGGTCATTGGGAGATGCACTACAAAGGCCCGGATGCTCACTTACAAGCAGCAGACAGTCCTGGTCCGTCGCTAGGAGGTGCAGGCCCAGCACCAGACCCGAGCGCATCCGTCAAGCCAGGCTCCACACAGCTCTCCTCTGAGGGCGGGCTTACGTCACCCACCCGGGAAGCCTTCACCGCCACTTGCAGGCTCTCAGCTAGGAACAACGAAAGCCGAATAACCGATTAAGGGTGCACACACAATAAACAGTATCGGTAGCGACACCTTCGTCTAGAGGAGGCATTGGCAAGCCACCGATTGGCCTGTGCCGCTTTTGATACGGCCAGGCACGGCTTTGGCATGTTACAAAGGGTCGCTTAAAACACAAAAGTGCACATAAAGCAACACCGGCAACAGACTCCAGAGGTGGCCCGCAAAGCCTCGACTCTCTGTGATCCGGCTCTTCACACAAACAGAGTTCGCTAGCCTGAGATCTGGACCAGGACACTTAGCATCTTTCTACAGTAACAAGTTCCTTCAACGGTGAGGTATAAATCCATGATATTAAAATAAAAAA